CAGATACCCATGCCGAGGTCCCCAGGTAGTTCCTTGGGCAGCTGAGGATGGGGAACCTGAAATGACCCTATTCTAGAGCAATAATGACGAATATCTTGCATATCATCATAGAACCTTCATCTGGTGATGGATGGAGACAGAGACAGAGACCCACACTGGAGCACTGGAATGAGCTCCCTAGGTCCCGATGAGGAGCAGAAGGAGGGAGAACATGAGCAAAGAAGTCGGGACCACGAGGGGAGCACCCACCCACTGAGACAGTGGAGCTGATCTATTGGGAGCTCACCAAGGACAGCTGAACTGTGACTGAAAAAGCATGGGATAAACCTAGACTCTCTGAGCATGGCGAACAATGAGGGCTGATGAGAACCCAAGGACAATGGCACGGGGTTTTGAACCTACGTAATGTGCTGGCTTTGTGGGAGCCTAGCCAGTTTGGATGTTCACCTTCCTAGAAATGCACGGAGGGGGGAGGACCTAGGACTTACCACAGGGCAGGGAAATCTGACTGCTCTTTGGGCTGGAGAGGAAGGGGGAGAGGAGTGGGGGGAGGGGGAGAAGGGTGGGAGGAGGGGGAGGGAAATGGGAGGCTGGGAGGAGGAGGAAATTTGTTTTGTTGTTTTTTTTTTCTTTTCTCAATAAAAAAAAAAGTTAAAAAAAAAAGAATTCTCAGTATTCCTCATTGTCCGCTATGTTCAACTAGTCCGGATTTATCCCATGCTTTTTCAGACCTAGGCCAGCTGGCCTTGGTGAGTTCCCGATAGAACATCCCCATTGTCTCAGTGTGTGGGTGTACCCCTCGTGGTCCTGAGTTCCTTGCTCGTGCTCCGTCTCCTTCTGCTCCTGATTTGGACCTTGAGATTTCTGTCCGGTGCTCCCATGTGGGTCTCTGTCTCTGTCTCCTTTCATCGCCTGATGAAGGTTAATATTCATGAGGATGCCTATGTGTTTGTCTTTGGATTCACCTTACACCTGTCAGAATGGCTAAAATCAAAAACACCAATGATAGCCTTTGCTGGAGAGGTTGTGGAGAAAGGGGTACACTCACCCATTGCTGGTGGGAATGCAAACTTGTGCAACCACTCTGGAAAGCAGTGTTTCGGTTTCTCAGGAAATTCGGGATCAACCTACCCCTGGATCCAGCAATACCACTCTTGGGAATATACCCAAGAGAGGCCCTATCATACAACAAAAGTATATGCTCAACTATGTTCATGGCAGCATTGTTTGTAATAGCCAGAACCTGGAAACAACCTAGATGCCCTTCAACGGAAGAATGGATGAAGAAAGTATGGAATATATACATATTAGAGTATTACTCAGCAGTAAAAAACAAGGACTTCTTGAATTTTGCATACAAATGGATGGAAATAGAAAACACTATCCTTAGTGAGGTAAGCCAGACCCAAAAAGAGGAACATGGGATGTACTCACTCATATTTGGTTTCTAGCCATAAATAAAGGACATTGAGCTTATAATTCATGTTCCTAGAGAAGCATCACCTTTTATGATGCCACAAATAGCATAAAATATCTTGGGGAAACTCTAACCAAGGAAGTGAAAAATCTATTTGACAAGAACTTAAGGTCTTTGAAGAAAGAAATTGAAGAGGATACCAGAAAATGGAAGGATCTCTCTTGCTCTTGGATTGGGAGGATCAACATTGTAAAAGTGGCAATTCTACATAAAAGCAATCTATAGATTCAACTCAATCCCCATCAAATTCCCAACAAAATTCTTCACAGACCTTGAGAGAAAAATAATCAACTTTATATGGAAAAAAAAACCCAGGATAGCCAAAACAATCTTATACAATAAAGGAACTTCTGGAGGCATTACTACCCCTGACTTCAAACTCTATTACAGAGCTACAGTAATGAAAACAGCTTGGTATTGTCATAAAAACAGAGATGTTGTCCAATGGAATAGAATCGAAGACCTGGATATTAACCCACAAACCTATGAACACCTGACTTTCCACAAATGAGCTAAAATTATACAATGGAAGAAAGAAAGCATCTTTAATAAATGGTGCTGGCATAACTGGATTTCAACATGTAGAAGAATGAAAATAAATCCATATATATCACCATGCACAAAACTCAAGTTCAAATGGATTAAAGATATCAATATAAATCTGGCCATGATGATCCTGATAGAAGAGAAAGTGGGAAGTAGTCTGCAACACATGGACACAGGAGACCACTTCCTACGTATAACCCCAGCAGCACAGACATTAAGGGCCTCATTGAATAAATGGGACCTCCTGAGACTGAGAAGCTTCTGTAAAGCAAAGGACACTGTCATTAAGACAAAAAGGCAACCTACTGACTGGGAGAAGATCTTCACCAATCCTGCATCAGACAAAGGTCTGATCTATATAAAGAACTCAAGAAAGTAGACATTAAAACTCTAATTAACCCAATTAAAAAATGGGGTACAGAACTGAACAGAGAATTCTCAACAGAAGAAGTTCAAATGGCCAAAAGACCATTAAAGTCATGCTCAACCTCCTTAGTAATCAGGGAAATGCAAATCAAAACAATTTTAAGATACCATCTTACACCTGTCAGAATGGCTAAAATCAAAAACACCAATGATAGATAACCTATGCTGGAGAGGTTGTAAAGTAAGGGGAACACTCATCCATTGTTGGTGGGAATGCAAACTTGTGAAACCACTTTGGAAATCAGTGTGGCAGTTTCTCAGGAAACTGGGAGTCAACCTTTCTCAGGACCCAGCAATTCCACTCTTGGCAATATACCCAAGAGCTGCCCAATCATACTACAAAAGCTTTTGTTCAACTGTGTTCATAACAGCAATATTTGTAATAGAAAGAAGCTGGAAACAACCTAGGTGCCCTTCCATAGAAGAATGGATAAAGAAGGTGTGGCACATATATACTTTAGAGATCTACTCATCGGTAAAAAACAAGGACTTCTTGAATTTTGCATGCAAATGGATGGAAATAGAAAACACTTTACTGAGTGAGATAATCCAGACCCAAAAAGAAGAATATGGTGTGTGCTCACTCATAAGCGGATTCTAGCCATAAACAAAGGGCATTGAGCTATAGTTCATGATCCTAGAAAAGCTAAATAAGAAGGTGAACCCAAAGAAAAACATATATTTTTCCTCCTGGATATTGGAAGTTGACAAGATCATCGGGCAAAAGTTGGGAGCAGGGGGGTGAGGGTGGATTGTAGGGAAGGGGAGATGGGGAAAGCGAAGGGAGAAGGGGAGGATTGGGGAGAGCTTGGGGGAATGGGATAATTGAGATGGAGAAAGGGTGGATATGGGAGCAGGGAAGAAGTTATCCTAAACAAGGGAGCCATTTTAGGGTTGGCTAGAGTCTTGGCTTTAGAGGGGTTCCCAGGTGTCCAAGGGGATTTCGCCAACTAGTTCGATGGACAGTAGAGGAGAGGATGCCTGAACTGGCCTTATCCTAGAGCCACAGTGATGAATATCTTGCATATCACTATAGAACCTTCATCTGGCGATGGATGGAGAAAAACACAGAGACCCACATTAGAGCACTGGACTGAGCTCCCAAGGTCCAAATGAGGAGCAGAAGGAGAACATGAGGAAGGAAGTCAGGACCGCGAGGGGTGCGTCCACCCACTGAGACAATGAGACTGATCTAATGGGAGCTCACCAAGGTCAGCTGGACTGGGACTGATGAAGCATGTGATCAAACCGGACTCTTTGAATGTGGCTGACAATGAGGGCGGACTGAGAAGCCAAAAACAATGGCACTGAGTTTTGATTCTACTGCATGGACTGGCCTTGTGGGAGCCTAGCCAGTTTGGATGCTCACCTTACTAGACCTGGATGGAGGGGGGAGGACCTTGGACTGCCCACAGGGCAGGGAATCCTGACTGCTCTTAGGACTGGAGAGGGTGGGGAAGAGGGAGTGGGGGTATGGGAGGGAAATGGGAGGAGGGGAGGAGGTGGAAATTTTGAATAAATAAATAAAATAAAAAGATTTTATTTTGCCATTTTTGAAAAAAAAATTAAAAAATAGCAAGATAAATCTGCAACTTGTGCCTTGTTGTTTCAAATAACTGTGGGGTCTGTTTGTGGGAATCTGCAGGGAACACGAAAATGTTTTCAGTTACAGGAATATTTGATCTAGCTGAAAAACATCTACATTTTTATTAACTTGCTTTTTTGGCAAGTATAAATGCTGTTTTTCAGAAAATCCAATATCCTTTCATCAAGTTACACAAGCAAACAAAGAAAAATAAAAGCAGCAGAAGAGAGAAGAAATAAATAAAAATAAGAATGCAGTGGACATTTTCAAACACAAAAGACAGTTGTTTTTCCCTAAAGACTGCAACAGAAATCACACAAGATTCTTCATTTTCATAATTTTCCGCAAAGTGAAAATGCCAGAGCACTTCTGGTGTGTGTGGGGGTGTGGACGAATTGTTGCAGGGGAGGAGGAGGTAGCTCACCCTGCCACTGCAGCTCTCTCCTTTCTAAAGTTCCTATGAATCACAGTGCATCACAAACCCCAGGCCCTGGACCCACAGGGAACTTAGTTTCCTTCCCTCTGGGACATAAGAAGTCTGGTCTATAGCAAGTTCCTGTAACTCACAGGAGTGCAAATTACCAGATCAAGAGTGGACTAGAAAGCACACACACACACACACATACACACACACACACACACACACACACACACACACCAAAATCAACAACACAACAAAAAAATAATAAATGTATAATGAAAAATAAAAAAAAACAACTCCCCCTAACCAAATCAAACAAAAACTATGCCTCAAGCTATTATAATTAACTTATTATTTTTTCTTGACTAGTTGAATACTATATAGTCCGATAGAGTAACTAATATACCAGAGGCTCCCAATCATTTCACTTCTACAGAGTCCTACCATGGCAGGCTTAACAGGCAGGAGGTTCACTTCCTCTGTGAGACCCCCATGAAGCTCCTCTTTTCCCTTTCAGTTTGCTTCAAATTGCATTAAATACATACCCATGTCTCCCTCTCGTAGGTGGTCTGGGGTAGATGTTTCTTTTTTTAGCATGTTCATGGGAGTCTCTTCAGCCTCTATAGCAGACATCTCTGAACTGAGAGGAAAAATCTTTCCTGAACTAAGGAGGAGGGATGAAACCTGAAACTCTGGAGAGGGAGACAAAGCTTTGGTTTCTGTGTTTCCTAATAAGCACTTTGCAAGTACAACCCACTGTCCCTGTGACTCATTAGCCACTCCTTACCAGTTCTGAACACATCACCTCTAAGCAGATAACGTTTTGTTCTTGGAGGAAACAGAATTACAAAGTAGGACACTTTGAAGTGAAATTAAGTGGACTATACAACAGTAATTGTTCCAGACTCATCACAACTTCTTAAAAAAAAAAAGTATTACTTTGATGAAAGCCACTGCTATTAAGTGGGGAAAGTGTTGCTTGCTTGATTGATTAGTTGGTTGGATGTTTAGTTGGTTGGTTGATTGATTGATTGATTGATTGAATCAGTGTCTCACTTTGTAACTCTGACTAGCCTTAGACACACATTAACCCACATTGGGCCTGGATTTCTTCTCCTATGTCAGCTTAAAGGTCAGTAATGCTGTAAGGCCTGAAATTCCAGATCATATATGTGAAGGCAGATAAGACCCTGACAAGAAGGCAAAGAGGAAAGAGGAAAACAATTAAATTTCTGGAGTCAGAGGTACCTGAAACCACTAGAGAAGCAAAATCTCAGCGTGAAGAGTAAAAAAGATTGACCCCCCCGAGAAGCTTCACCAGCTGCATGGGATGTTTTCTGCCCAGGCTGTGATAAAGGGGTGTCTTTCTTTACCTTTTCTTCTATATGACTTATGGCACAAACCAATAATACTGCAGTTGCCAAGCAAGTCTAAATTCTGGAGTTGGGGAACAGACACCAGAAATAATGCCTCCATTTATCTGTGTACAAGCATCCTCAAAGGTGCAGTCAAACATAGATCACAAACCCTTTGGGAAGCACCAAGACTCAAATCTCTTTCCCTCCCACTATGTCACCCCGTAAGGCTCCTCACTATTTAAAACCTGAGCATAGTTTGCTAAAGACTCTGCTGCACTGGATTGGAAAGAATCATGTCCCAGCCATCACCAAGGAACCTTCTAAACATGCAGATCCATACTGACGACACTTAGTAATAAACTCCAGGTGACTTCTGCATTACTAAGAGACCTTTCCGGGAAAACTCCTTCCTGAGGAAACAGACAGAGCCATTCACATTCCTTGGTAAAAGGATCAATTCCTAGATTTCATAAGTTAGGTAAGTAGTTTAAAATGTGCGTATTCAGACGTCATACAGGATGTACTCTTACCTCAATCAGCTGTTGACCCCATTTCCTGTTCCTTGGTAACCTGTCTCATTTTAAAGAAAGAGCAAGGGCCACCATTTCCCCTCCTAAGACTTTGATATGCCCTTACCCTTTTATTACTGTCCTGGTCAGTGGTTGATGATATACTTTGATTAAAACAGCAGCTATTTCCATGTACAATGACCTCCTTCCTGTGATAGAGTCAAAATCTTACCTTACAACCAAAAGACAGCCTGAAGTCAGAAGGAGGAACAAAAAAGCATGATAGGAAGAATAAGTGTTCACTCAATGAAAAGCATGCATACCCAGTCCTGAGCCTCTGCCTTCTCAAGATAGTGGAGAGTTCAAATTATCAACTTACAGCCAGACTCTAAAAGTCTTGGGAAAGAGGCAGGGAATGAGATGGGGAGGAGGCTTTGTGGCCATAGAGAAGAGACCTGAAGCATATTTAATAACCTTGTATCTTAGTATTCTAACGCTATGAAGTGACACCAAAAACACAGGATCTCTTATAAAGGATAACATTTAACTGGACTTTGCTTACAATTTCAGATGTTTAGTCCATTGTCCTCATGGTGGGGAGCATGGTGATACGTATGCAGATATGGTGTTAGGGAATCTGAGAGTTCTAAATCCAGATCTGCAAACAGCATGAAGAGAGAGAGGAAGAGAGTGAGAGGAAACTATTAGGTCTGCCTTGGACTTCTGAAACCCCAAAGACCACCCCCAGTGATACATTTCCTCCTACAACACAACACCCCTCAAATCCCTTGCAAGTAGCTCCACTCCCTAAGGACCAAGTATTCAAATATATGAGCCTATGGGGGCCATTTCTATTCAAACCAACAGGAATCTAACTGACTCTATTTTAAAGGCAAGATACATTATGTTGTATCTTAAATATAAGTTTCTCTTTACTGTGAGAGTGGAGTAGCTCTGTTTCCTGAACATGACCTTCCCAAGCCCATGATCTGCAATTGTTTGTGAGAATATCCTGACCTTAACCTCCCCTGATCCCTCTTAAACACATGGGGTGATCACACTATGACTTTTTTAAGTATTTTTTTTTATTTTCTTCTTGCCCCATTGTTTCAATTCTGTAAAAGTACTAATGATTTTACTCCTTAAAAGGGGTCCAAAATCTCTCTCTCTCTCTCTCTCTCTCTCTCTCTCTCTCTCTCTCTCTCTCTATCTCACCCAATTTAGTTAGCAGTGGCTGACCAACCCTCAGTCATATCCCAATAAAAATCAAGCTTGATTGAAATTTGGCTCAAATTGTGGAGGTGGTCTCTTATTTTCACCATTGGGATAAACACCAGCACACCTTGTTACAGATATCTTTAAGGCCCAAGGGATTTTTTATCTTATAATGTGACTTCCTGCAGATGGTTCTTGAGACAGGAAGAAGCAGACTCTGGTTTGGAAAGCCACGGAAATGTGGAAAAAAAAAAAAAAAACCTCCATAATGTGGAAGGAGTCTTTGATGGAGGTAGGGTAGGCCAGGAGATTTTATGAGCTGTTCTGGGCTCTTCAATCCTGCCTGTGCTAGAGTTGAAGGAAGACACAGGGATTTCACTTCAAGAGCAGATGAAAAGTATTCAAGCATTGAGGAGATCAAGGCAGGAAGAGAGCTAGTGAGGACTCAGCTTCAGCTCCATAAAAACATTTTCTTTCAAAAATTAATTAGTTAAAGGTTAAATAAACAGAGCTGAACATGATGATTTACACCTATAATTACAGCATTTAAGAGACTAAGAAAGGAGGATTGCTTTGAGTTTGTCATCAGATTGAGCTATAGGGAATGATCTATCTAAGAAAATCAAAATTAATTAATTAGAAACTTGTAGACCAGAGCTAAATGGATGAGATTTCCCAGGAGCTGTTTACAGGTGAGTTTAGGGGTTCCTGGGGTCAGGACTTCATGTGTCTAACCACCTGAATACACATCAACAACGTGTCTCTGATGGTCAGAGCAGGATTTATTCCCCATTACAAGTGCTTCCTGTGTAAAACTCAAAGTAAGAGCCCATTCCAGGTTAGAAATGAAACAGACACATAGAATACTGACTTTCTTTTCCTTCTTAAATTACTTAAAAGAAGCAACAGGTTTAGAATACTTGAAGTATGCCACATACATTTTGTACACATGGTCGTTTTTTTATTTGTTGTGACTGCTAGGATTAAGGGATTATGCTGGCCTGCCCTGTCATCTGGCAGGATGTGCACAGACTGTACCCTTGCAGCACAGGGTCCTAGTAGGCACACAAGTGCAAAGGTCCCTTTAAGAGACAACCCAGACCTTTCTCTTCCCACCAAGGCATGCAGGTCTTGGCCTCTCTCTCTCAGCTTCTCTCTCTTCTCCTCCTCCCCTCTGTCTCTGTGTCTCTCCCTTTGTTTTCTCCCACTACCTTCCCCATACTCTCTTCTCTATGAAACTCCACACTCAAGCTCTCTCTGCATGGAGTATTCTGTCATATGTTGTGGTTCTCACTAGTGGTGGGAACTGTCAGGGTGCTACTCATGCTGTATTTTAATAGTGACTGCCTAAAGTAGACAATGCAACTTGAAAAATTGAGCCTGCCAGAGAGTGCTCTGCCACATCTTGAACCAGAAGCCTGTTCATCTTATTGCAAATATTCTCCATGGAGCACTTGTTAAGTTGGGAGCGTAGCCTCCAGCCCCTGGCATCCATCTCAGCCTCCCTGGCCTGGGAGTCCTATTGGTCTGGACTCCAAATCCCAGAATGCTAGGTCCTGATCCCTCCCTAGGGAGGGGGGAGGGTCAGGACCACTTCCACAGGGTATTTAAGTGAGCACTCAGAGGAGAAATAAGTGATTTGGGGTTTGTATGGGCTCCCTGCTGTCCTGTCTCCCTGCCATGCACTTGGCCACCTGAGAGTGTCTTACTTAATAAAACGATGGGCATTTTGATTCACTTTGGTTTGACCTAATGGATTTCTTGTGCTGGCAGAGCCACCTTTTTCTTATTTAAATTTTACTTATCAGCACTCTTATCTCCATCTAGGACTGATCAACAAACATATTTTAAATATACTCAGCAATAAAAAACAAGGACTTCTTGAATTTTGCATGCAAATGGATGGAAATGGAAAACACTATCCTGAGTGAGGTAAGCCAGATCCAAAAAGAGGAACATGGGATGTACTCACTCATATATGGTTTCTAGCCATAAACCAAGGATTTTGAGCCCATAATTAGTGATCCTAGAGAAGCTAAATAAGGAGAACCCAAAGAAAAACATATAGGCATCCTCCTGAATATTAACCTTCAGCAAGCGATGAAAGGAGACAGAGACAGAGACCCACATTGGAGCACAGGAATGAAATCTCAAGGTCCAAATCAGGAGCAGAAGGAGAGAGAGCACGAGCAAGAAACTCAGGACCGCAAGGGGTGCACCCACACACTGAGACAATGGAGATGTTCTACTGGGAACTCACCAAGACCAGCTGGCCTGGGTCTGGAAAAGCTTGGGATAAAACCGGACTCTCTGAACATAGCGGACAATGAGGACTACTGAAACTCAAAAACAATGGCAATGGGTTTCTGATCCTACTGCACGCACTGGCTTTGTGGGAGCCTAGGCAGTTTGGATGCTCAACTTACTACACCTGGATGGAGGTGGGGGTTCCTTGGACTTCCCACAGGACAGGGAACCCTGATTGTTTTTTGGGCTGGGGGGGCACTTAATTGGGGGAGGGGGAGGGAAATGGGAGGCGGTGGCGGGGAAG